ATTCGTGTTCAGGACATGTGCAAACGAAAGCCCTTATGGGTTGACTGGCTTTCGTTTGAGGGGGTGTGATAGTGAATGGCATAAGATCCATTATAGAACCTCTCCCAACAACTCGAATTATTGGGATCAACTGGTTCATGACACTCTAGATTTATCCTAGTTGAAAATGCTGAGAAACTTGCAAGAAAGATTCAATTCTACTGTCACAGCCATAGAAGAACTCCAGATGTTAATGAATCATGATTATAGTGCTGCTTTATAGAGCATGTAATTAACCTGTTCACCAAGCTGAATGCAGAGAGCATTACATCTCTATCTGCAAGCATTGCACTCGCAGGTATGACGACCCCATCACCACCCAATGCCTTCTCTAGTACTATCTAAATTAAAGCACAAAACCACAATTAAAATTAAAATGATGAGGTAACCAACAAAAGTTAAAAAAAGTTGACATATAGTCATAGATTGCCCAATGGAGAATGAGAAGCTACGTAGGGAACTAGAAATCAATTAAATAATTATCATATTCCTTGACAACATAAGACAACTATCTCTTGGAGTCTAGGTTTAGATTTGAACTCTTGTGCAATTGGGAATTCCTAATCAAGACCTTGGAAGTTATATTAATTAATGTACCCAGATGGGAAATAAAGACCGCAGCCAATAATTTGACTGAATAAAGTGTTATTGTTTAAAGATATATAACCACACGTAACCAGCAAGAAATCTTTTTATGAAAGATTTGAAGTTTTGTTTTCTATAAATTTCAGCGGGTTATTTCTCTTTCAGTTGTATTTTTTTTTACAGATAAATTAGATTAACTGTGCTTTTTAAAATCATATTCACTTTGATATTTTGAAACAAAGAAATTGAGATTTATATTACCAATCTATATCATGGCGGTAATGCATGGTATGACTATTATACCGCATGGTATGAAAGTGTACCATAATGGTATGAACATACCATTGTGTAAAATGATTGTTTACCAACCGTTATCACCATTATCCCTATATTCAGAGGCGGACCCATTCATAATTGAGGGTTGTCAATTGACAAACCTTAACTATGAATTTGGGACCAAATTACCACGTTAAAATTTATATTGGCAGTGGTTGTATTTAAACCCTATATATACCATTTGACAACTCTTACAATTTTTAAATGAATGTTTTAGGTAAGGTACAACCATATCAAAATACAAAGGAAATGTACATACTAATTATTACTATTTTCATTTCTAGAACATAAATTAATTTATAAATCAGTCAAGGGTATGTATGAGACTTTGAAGAATCGATAACCTAGATAGGTGAATGGTGCAGACTTGAAAAAAATATTTTTAACATGCTTGCTTCGAAATTAGTGTTGGATTTAGTTGTTGCAATTGTAATGATTGAAAAGATATTTTCAAAGATGAAATCAATCAAGAACGATCTTCATAATTCGTGGAAGATAAATTGTGAATGATTGGTTGATTATGGTCATTAAAATAGGCGAATCCTAGAAAAATGATAAAGTATTTTAGAAACATATTTGAATATGAAAATACGTCGTTGTTTGCTGTGAAAATTGATAAATTTGTGTACTTTATGATTTTTATTTTATTTTATTTTATAAATTTATCATTGAATACCCTTAATAAAATTTCTAAATCCGTCACTGCCTCGCTATATTGATCAATTCGATGGCGGCAGGGACAACCTCTTCCCGCCGTTTCACCCCGTTTAGGCAGCATCTTCTTCTGCATTGGCGGAAGTCAAAACTCTTCCCAGGTATAGCTTAGATTTCAGCGATCGAAACATCCCCCGGCAATTCCGGTGAAACCCGCGCCTTCAGTTGTCGTATCTTTCTCACTAAGAGCATCTCCATTGGTGCAATTGCATTTGTGATTTTTTTGACACAACACCATTTTTGCAAGCCAACTCACTTTACTTTCATTGTACCTACATTGGTACAATTGAATTGCAATTGCATATGAGGCCTAAATTTTTTTAATGCATTAAAAAACAATTTTTAAATACCTTTTTATCCACATTGCAAGTAAATAAAATAATACTATTCTTCTTTTTTAATTTAGATGAAACATATACAATTAATTCATAAAATTTTTATTACTAATTTATGAATACATTTTGATCTTGAGGATGGAATAGAAAGAATCTAGTACTCAATAATTATTCATACAATCAAAATAAAATACGATGAACTAGCACAATATTCAAATAGGACACATAAATAAAGTAAAAAAACTTAGATATAAAATTTTAAATGGAACAATATAAAGACATAAATGTAAATTAAACATCATTTTCCTCATCTCCAAAACGAGCCCATATCTCTTCTATCAAATCTGATTGAAGGTGATTATTTGTAGAGCGATTACGAATTCTTGTATGATTGCGAAGATACTCTTCATACTCCATGAAACAACTATAATCACCATTAACAAACTCTACAAATACGTTCACATTCTATAACTCTTTAACAAATCCCTATATTCACTCTGCAACTTAAATACCGATCTTCCGATTTTATTCCATTTGTATCTGTGAAATTAACAACGACAACGCCCACCATGCCCCTTTGTAGGCTAAACTCTAGTCCAAAGACCAATAATTTTCAATAAACTTAATACAAAGATTGAGGCAAAAAGAAGCCTAAAAAGATTGTATGACCCATTGGGCTTTCATTGGGTCTTTGTGGTGTTTTGTGGACTTGGGCCCATATATGCTTGTGGATTACCGTTGTTGTTCGAGTTGGGCCATGTCATATTTACCGGTCCAACAATTGTCCCCCAGTTAGGTATTCAGCAGTATACTGAACGCCTAACTAAAATTCTTCCTGTCACATCTTTTGCATTTTGCTTCTTGTCCCCCGACTAGCTGATCCATGTCCCTCGTGATCATAATAGCTTAAGAACTCGGAGCAAGAACTATGTAGAGGAAGAACAACGTAACATAATGTGACTCATAACATGGCTAGTGATATAACTTAAACAATGAGAAAAAACTACTTGTTACACATCTGATTTCTAACAAGACTATGAAATTTTCGGCACGTAATTGAAGATTTGTTTTACTTAGAAAAATTCTGAAAGTGCATTCACGTGTTATTCCCAATTGTCCCCCAATTAGGCGCCCAGTGGTGCACTGGACGGCTAACTAAAGTTCCCCCACTTGTCACCCAGCTCAATTAACTTAAGTCATCCAACAATATATAAGTTCAAAAGAGAAAGCTATCGGGATGCATAATAATTTGACCCATAGTATAATTAAGAATATAACTCAAGTTGTAACAAAATATTTGATGCATTTGTGGTGCCCAAGTGAAGACATTTACTTTCGGTACATATTTTGGAGATGCAAGTTGTCCCCTCAAATTTTCCCCAATTAGGCACTCATTAGTATACTCGTTTCTAACCAGAAATCTTCAGCTTGTCAAATTTCCTACAGGCTCAATTTCGGGTGTGATGTTTACGAATTCAATTAACTCATGTCCCCACTCCCCAACATCATACTAGCTAAATAACTTGAAGCATAACTGTATAGAGAAGGTGTAATGTATAATAATATGACTCATAACATTGTCTCCCAATAATAATAGAAAGGGGCACAAAGAGTGCATTAAAAGTTGACTCGTGCAATAGTGGGGAAGTTAACTGGACTAGTGATAAAAAATAATTAGCTTAACATTGGAAATGCTTCATCGGCGCTCTCCATGTGCATCACAAAGTTTCCTTTGAAATTAATGGTATGCGACTACTCTCCATCATTTTTTGAATGACTTTGGTGTTGTGGACGCTTCATGCCTCACTTTGAGGTCTTACGTGTATTGCAGGCGCTCTAAGACTTCATAGAGAAATTATTATATACCGAGCCCTATAATTTCGGACATAGAGAGTATTCGGAACCAAGGGCGCTAAATTTTAGGTGCAGACTGTATCTCAAACCAAAAGCACTACATTTGGGCGCTGGTAGTACTAGAACCAAGGGCGTTAGATTCAGGCGCGGAGAGTATTTCAAACCAAATGCGCTAGATTCGGGCGCGGAGAGTATTCAAACCAAGGGTGCTAGATTGGGGCGCGGAGAGTATTCGAACCATGGGCGCTAGATTCGGGCGCGGAGAGTATTTCAAACCAAAGGCGCTAGATTCGGGCGCGGAGAGTATTCAAACTAAGGGTGCTAGATTGGGGCACGGAGAGTATTCGAACCATGGGCGCTAGATTCTGGCGCGGAGAATATTTCAAATGAAGGATGCTTTAATTCTGTGGGCGCGAAAAAGTAATCCTAACCAATTCGATATAGTTTGGGTGCATGTGGAGATAAAAATCAAATTTATGAAAAGAGTGAAGTACCTTAGCTTGATTGAGTGTCTGAAGTCTGAACTGAAATCCATGTTAAAGCTTGTCGTGAATGATAAGAGCTTGTGGCATTTTGGTTCAAATAAAAAATTGCAATCAATTTGATGAAGGCGCTTGCTGTTGGCGGCTTGGTTCCGGTTTCGGAACTCATCTCTCAAAGTTTATGCAGTTTAATTTTGACCACTTGGCGTCCGAGTTGGGCTAGTGGCCCACATCACTTCTAACTATGGAATTCACCACAATGAAACTTGGAGGCGCACGATCAACTCGGATTGGGCCTCATAGGTGCCCAGGCTCACACTACAAAATAAACTCCTTACGGCAGGGGTTTTTTCGGCTTTTAGCAACGGACAAAAACCGTCGCTACCAATCCCGGAAGCGGTTACTAAAACCGCTGCAAAACCGGTGCAAAACCAACCGTCGCAAATCTATGACAGCGACCAACCTAACCGCTGGTGATTGTTCTAGCATCGGTTATGAAGCGGTCGCGATTGCTGGCATTTGACATTTTCTAGCCCGTCAAATGTAAGGTTTTTTTTGCGACGGCTACAACAGTGACCACTTTCTCGTCACAACTTTACCAAATCCTGGGGAAACTAGATTTAATGACGACTGAAACCGTCGCTAAAATTAAAAGTGGATTTCTGCATAATTTTCACATATGCTGTAAAGTGATAATATAAGTTACAAGGAAATTGAACAAATCCTACCTACTTGAAACTCAAAACAACACTTTGCAATCAAAGGGATAATCTCAAAGTTGAACAAAGGTTTAAGTTCCAACAAGATCCTAAAGGTCTCTTCTAAATCATCCACATTATGTATAGCATGTCGTCTTAACCTGTCAAGAAGCAAACCAAAATAAGCAAACGAAAGAGAACCCCTGGAAACACAAAACAAGAGAAATACACAGAGACTCAGATATGAAAACCACTTAAAACAAGATTGCCAAGCTACATAAGAACAAAGGGATCCAAGAACAAAATTCTCTCACAAATCACATCTTCTCACCCAAATATCATAATAAAAAAAGGGAACAAAGAAGTCCCCTGTACCAAAAAACTCTGATCATTCATCATGCTAGCTGGTTACACACTTCAAACTACCTACTATAAGATGGTTTACACTAACTACAAGAGTTACAGGTCCTCCTAAGATGATTTAACTCAAATTTTCTACTCTCCTATTAATACTATGCTACTTAGAGAGCTACAGGTCAACGTAAGCAAGAACCATTTTCCCATATCAAGAAGCAACTTCGAAATAAAAATTAAACAAGGAATATAAGCACTTACCCCTGTTGGCCTAGACATTAGATAACTTCATAAAGCAACAAATTCTTTAGCCTCTGACCCCTGAACGATAAATGGTACAATTTCTAGCAAACATCAAGGTATATTGATATTATCCAAATTGGCCACTTCTACAAGTCACAATTACTTGACGAAGAAGCTATCGAAGTTGGGAAGAAGAAAGGCAGAATTTGGCTAAGTCAAAATCCGTGTTCAGGGTACATACTTTGAAGGCATGGTTCTCTTAATTGGCTTAATGGAAGTTCCAGTTCAAGAGCTTGTTTTACAGAGAAAGTTTCCATGTTTCCAATGGTATGCTTTGTGGATCCAGATGATGTCATTAAGGTTGTTTTCCAAGGCCTCAAAGTTGCTACCTCAAAACTGGAAAACTGCCAGAAAATGGTCAAGTCTGGAAACTGTTTTGTGAAGCCTACTTTGGAGCTTGATTCGAGGAGTATGGATCTGATTCAAGTCCAAAGGCTTCCACAACATGAAACTAGGTATGTTTGTGAACAAAGGGAAGGAATTGGATGAAGAATTGGAGTTCGGGAAGGCCTCGAACAAAAGGCGCGAAGTTAGTACGAAAGCTGCATTTTGACTGTTTTGCGGGCAGATTACTTGTGCGCCAAGAAAGGAAGTTTATGGCCGAATTTTGAGTCCTTTTTAGAGTTTGTTTTTACCTTAATTGTTTCCTTGTTTATCTAGATTTGTATTAGGTTTTATTGGCTATAAATAGCCTTCTAATTACGTTGTAAAATTAAGACTTCGATTAATCGAAATTGAGAACCGTTTGGTTTGTGCAAGTTGCGACTTGTTTTGGGTTTGGTGGATTCCAAACTTGCTGAGCTTGTGTATCGATTGAATAGTCACTTCAATCGTGGTCGAGCAACTACCCTTTTATACCAATCGAGCTATCCCCAGGTGTGGATTTGTCCTTTTGGTTCCGTTTTATCCCAAGTTCGTATTAAGAACGCTTCGTTCTTGATTCGAGCTCAATCGATTCTTCGATTGAGTCGTTTGCTGCGTTACTTTGATAAACATACACCCCCAGGGGCGTATTATATATCTTGATGGTGGTGAAGGAGCAAAGAGAGATACAGAAAAAAGTTCCAAACTATAATGATTCAGTGTAAAAGGCTTGCACCTTCTGAAATGAAAATAACCAAAAAAATACTTGCTGCTGCTAGGTATGCAACTTTTAATATCTCAATTCACTATCGGAAACCAAAATACAGTTTAATGCCAAAACTAAAGAATGCAGCCTTGTATTAAACAAACTTAATAAAGAAATGGATATTTCAGAGTATGCATTTGAAGCATGATAAACTATTCAAACAAGGGAATAAATGCACCATGATTTTACCTATGTTGCATTTTACTTATTAAAATCCCCACCATGCTTCAAACCGATATCTTCTACTGATTCTTGAGGAAGTCTCCCTTCTGCATCAGTTTTCCTATAATGATAAAATAATGGATTAGGAAAAGAAAAAGACTGAACCTCCCATATGAGCAATGCACCTCTCGTATCTTCTGCTAACCTTCTTTTTACTTCTGCACCCACTATTACTTAGTTTCATCAATTATTAACAATGGGAAGTAGTGGAAAAAGATATGCACTTGAGGCTGAGGTTTAGAAAATGTCAAATTGTGCCCAAACTGTGCCCACACAGTTTAACAGTAGCTACTTGTTCAAAATTTTCATTCTGGTTTCCCTTATTTTGGGACTACTAACCTTCTTATTGGGTGGAACTTGAAACATTCTGGAAATAAGAGATTGTACCAAGTCAAAGCCACCTGACCAAATTGTCTGCTTTTCTTGCTTAATGGTATAGGGTTCTCCATGCTACCAACAACGACCTGAACAGAATGTCTAGTGTTAATAAAAGATGTATCCATTAACATCCTTCAGTTTAAGCAGGGTACTGTTCCAGGTTGTAAAGAAAGTTTTGCTCTTACCTATAAGCAAACAATCTTAACCTTAAATGCAGCCTGCCTTCTGACTGTCAATCGGAAACAAAGAAGATATAGTCATTGTTAGGAACTCACCTACTATCGATCACTATAGAATAAAAAGAATAATTAAGAAAGACATGAAGGAGACCACGACATCATCAATAAGCTAACGGTGATGAATTTCCTTCAATATCATGATATCATATTGAGGCTCCCTTACCACTTGAAAGTTGTAAGCCCTAAAAGTGTTGAAGAATATGAAAAGCGCGGAGCAGTTTTGGGTTTGATCACAACCTTTGGTCAGTTTTGCACTCCTGTAGAAGCTAGTCACTAAGTTTTGGACAGATATCCGCTAGAACTTTCTTTAGAGCTGCAGGTATCTACACCAAGCAATGACAAGATGAATTAGCCCCAAGTAAACAACAATTTTGAAGAAATGCAACCAATAATAAAAAAAAGAAAACAGAGGACCCAAATACCAAAAGAGAACTTAGTTCAACTTCATGCTACATTAAGACTTCACTACAGGACCCAAATACAAAACATTAGTGATAGAAAAATAGCTAATTAATTAATTAACCTGTGCATTCATATGTATGTTTAACTAACCACTTGAATTTCCCTCTAGCATTATATCTAAGTTCACTAAGACTAAGATATGTAGCAGATTATTATCATGCATACATCAACATACCAATGAGGATAAAAAGGCAGTTTTCTATTGAACTATCATGATGACCACGATAACAAGCCATGTAACAAACACTATTTTATAGTTAACATGGAAGAAGATGATCATTGCACATTCAGGGGCTAGTTGTTATCCGGAGAGACCTTACCTTCATGGATTTTTTAAACCTACATTTTCATGCTTAAATCATTCATATAACTTGTAGTTGCAAAGCCAAAAATGCCCAGCATGGCTTGAGTTGAGCTATATCATCGGTACACATCGGCAACAATAGCTTCAACTTGGAGATTTGGAGAAAGGAATATACTACTACACCTGAAAAGACAGAGAAATTTGCAGGGGAAAGGATGTTATCAACATAATTCTTCTGAAAAAGGCCAATTACAAGACATCACAAGAAGAGTTAATTAAATCAATCCAACATTTGCAGAGTACAACCATGCATGTAGAAACCATAACAGATCCAACAGGCACTTCTCTAACTTAAACCAGATAAGATAAGAAGCAATACACATAAACTGAATTGAGGAGAACTTCTCTAACTAAACTAGAAGGTCATGAGAGAAAAAAAACTCAAAGAAAACAAAAGTCACGATACCAAAGGAACACCTATAACTACAACTATGTGATTATGTCCCGTTATATCAATCAAGTTAAAGAAAATGACAGAAAAAAGAGGGGAAAGGAAAGGAAAATCATGCAAGCCCCATCTATAGAACATAAGCTTAACTCTGAATTAAAATACAGAAGTCGATCCTTACAATTTCCACAATTAGTTCCAAATTCCAACTACTCCCATTCGTTAGAATCATGCTAGGGTCACTAGAATTCAATAAATAGCAAACCCTAATTACCTCTTACAAGCACCGACTTTAATTGAGTGCTACACATCCTGCATCTCCTCAACGCATAACCCAAGCATGAAATTCATCTCCATCCTCTGCAAAACAGAACTTTCAATTGCTTGCAGAGTTTGCCTATGCGAAAAGCCAACGGCGCAACCAAGAGAGAGGAAGAGAGTCACCGAAAACCTAAATTAAATAAAGAGAAAGAAAGCAAGAAATCAAATAGACGAGTTCTTACCATCGGATGAGAATAGATACATGCAGAACTAGAGAGACGCAAAATGGATGCCGAACCAGGATTCCACAAAGGTTAGAGCTCAAGGCGGGAGAAAGAGAGTTGGCTGGAGATGTTTTCGAAGTTGTAAGCTATTAGAGGTCTAATTTCAAGTCGCGAAGGTCAGATTAAGAGGGGAAACAACCATGGATTTTGTCAGAGATTGGGGCTATCGTCTGCGGTAGTGTTAGGGTTCGAGTCGATTTGCTGGAGTAGGGGAAAAAAGAAATTCAAATTGGGGAAGATAGAAGAATCAGGGAAACACTTTACTTTTCAGCAAATTGGAATTGGGCTTCTCAGCGGGTGTAATAACCGCTGGTGAATACACTGCCATAGTTACAGATAATTAAAGCCCAACAATGGTTAAGAAAACCCGTGGAAGGAAACCCCTGGGCTAGGCCCATTTCCTTGTAGTGTCATTGTGGTTGGGGTGGTCCAGGCGCACACTTTGAGTAGATTTGGGTTGGAATTTTTGCCTCAATTTCATTGGGACAAGAGCTTTCATTCCTTGCTCGCCACTTGAGCTCTCTCACAGCACAACACGCCTTGCTTCCTTATTATGTCTACTATGCTCTTATTCAATCCATTGATAACGCCTCTCCTCCATTCTCCTACTAGTGCTAATGAACCAAGCACTCTTCTTTTCAGTATTGAGCGCACACCGGATGTCGGGTAGATAAATTGAAACTTGCCATGATGAACATCTATTATATTTTCTACACTTAGGCCAAGCGCTTTGAATTTCGACGATAGACGCAGGCACACCATGATGCATTTTCACCATCATGTCCGTCGAAAGGTTCCTGACTAGGCGCCCATCGCCTAGTATCACTTCTTTCTTACTCTTTTGAGGCGCCCAACTCTTACTCTCTCCATGTTCGCGCCAAATCTTATGACTTCAATTGGCCGCTAGCGCGTCTCCATTTTTTTCGTTCTCAATTTTGTAAATAGAGGCGCCCAGCTCTTCCTTTCTCTGGCGCCTTAAACTACATCATGGCCTTCTTTCTTAATATGCACTCTTCATTTGGAACTAGGGTAAAGTCTTCTTTTGTATCCATTTTGGGCGTTCAGACTCTCTTGAATTCTTTTTGGATGTCGATGCTAGGGTTTCATCTCTTTATCTCCGGAGTTCCGGCGCCGCTCTCGCCTCCGACCAGTCATTTTTCCTGAATCTGAGAGGTTTTCTTCTTTGTTGTCGTCGTTTACTTAGAACGGGATTCAACCGAGGACAACCAGGACGCGACTCTTCTTCTTCTTCTTCTTTTTTTTTCTTTCACAACTTATTTTCCAGATCCGACCAGAATACCTTGAAGAAGCCCTCGTTTCTCCCATGTCACCTTCCTTCTTTCTTCCTGCGAAAAGATGTATGGTCGTCGTTTGGACCGACTTCCGCTGCCGCCAACAGGGTTTCTCACCCCCCTGCCTTTCCTCTTCTGCACGGGTTTGGTGAGGCCTCTCCTTTTTGTAGATCGAACAAGCAAAACATAAACCCCTCCACAGAAACCTCTGATCGCATATCTTGCTTGGATCTGGTTTTTTTTTTTTTCAAATCTGTTCATTGTCTCCGCCAAATAATAAATTTTTTTAGGAAGACCGAATGCTTAGCTCTTGGATTTCCACTCTTGGCGGTGTCAAACGACGATGAGAAGCGCCCTTCGTGTCCCATCGGCAGTGAGTTTGGTTACAGGAACATCAATGCCGATGGAATGGTGGTTACTAGTTATGGCAGTGACTTGGTGTTATTGTGGCGAGGACGAGATGAAGATATATGATGAGATGATTTTGGCCACTACAGGAAAAATGGCCTCTTGCAACCCAAAAAAATGTGTTGCATAAAGCCTTAAAAGAGTTGCAACATCCTAACGCCACACTTTTACAAGAGTTGCGTATAGTGGGGGTTGCAAAAGGAATACGCAACCTTTTTTCCATTTTTGGCAACCAAAATAAAAAAGTGTTGCTTATCTTTACGTTTTACGCAACACTACTTTAGGCAACACATTTCCAAAATTTTGCAACACATTCTGAGAACATAGCCAACGCTTTTTACGAATTTTTCGCAACGTTTAATTTTTATTTGTGACGAGTCGAGTTCGTCACAAATGATTAATCCATTTGTGACAATTTTGTTTGTCACAAATGCTAAGATTTGAGTGACAATCTCGTCGTCAATAGAGACGAGTTGTTGGCGACACAAAAATGCCAACGATGACGTCTTTAATTGTCACAAATAATTGTCATAAGTGACCATAGTTTTGTCACTAATACACTTTCTGACATTCATTGTATTTTGTAGGGTAGGGTTTTGTTGTCACTGAAGTTATAATTTATGAGATTTTTATTGTCACGTATGCCACCCTTTATGTGACAAATTTTTGGTTGTCACTCATCATGTATTTATGTGACTATATGATTGTCGCAATAGAATCATTTTGTGACAATATTTTCATCACGGAAGCAACATAAGCAAGACGATTTATTCACGATAGTAATTATTGGTGACCCGTATTTCATCACAAAAACCTAGCTTTGGTGACAATTATGATCCTCACTTAATACAACATTGGTGATAAATTGACTTATCACAAATGTTTTTCTTTTGTGAGAATGAAATTTTTGCATTTGTTTGTTTTAGTGACAATGGTTGTCATCATAGACATTGTAGATTGCATTCATTAGTGACCAACTTTTCATCACCAGATGTATCTATTATGACAATTATGTCGATCACAAAAGTGAAGCATTGGTGATAAATTAACTTGTCATGAATAATTTCATTCTATCACAACAAAATTGTCATATTAGTCTCTTTTTGTGACAAAGATTTCCGACACAGATATACCAAACGTGAGATTAACCTGCGTCGCACATGAGCACATTTTGTGACAAAAATTTTGGGTGCTTGTCTCTAAAAATAATTTTCAAATAGAGAAAAACGGTCATTAAAATAATAATACCGAATTCACTAGATAATACGAAAATAGCGTCAAACTACAATTTTGCTAGTAACAACTTGAAATAGTATTTCTAAACAATCAAAACCATAAACAAGAAACTAATGAGGTTGTGGTTTATCGAACATTAAGTTCATAGACTTCATTTCGGACGCAATAATTGTCTCATGTCTTCCTCGTGTCGCGCTTGGAGGTCAGCAAACTTCTGTTCTCATTTCTTATTTGCTTCTTCTAATTGTGCATCGAACTGTTGTTTTAACTCTTGGTAGATCTCCTTTATTATTCCAGCTCTAACTTCTTCCCTGACTAAAACGGTTTTTGGTCTCTTAGCACGTCGAGATGAGGACTTGCCTTTGGTTTGTAGTATTATCTCTTTGTTAGACAACAAAGTTCCAAAGTTAATGATCTCTTTTATTTTTTCC